GAAAGATCCAAAAGTCATGAATTTGCTCTATCAAGGGTAATTTCTGCCTGCTCCAAGCTAACACTTGCATTGATGGAAGACCTCAGTAGACAATGCCTGTAGTGTGGGAACTCGGCTTCAGTCAGGTCTGTCCCATCCAGATCCTGGGAGTCTCCAATGTCCAATAATCTTTCCCCTAGAGCCCAAGGGGTAATATAAAGTCATTTATGATTAGCATACTGATGATAATGCATCCCATATTGCTGGAAAACTTCACCCATCAGATTCATGTAGCTGTTTAGTAGCGATTTAGTAAAATATTATGGTTCATTGTATCAAAACAAATAAGGCACCAACAATAAGACACAAACAAATATTTCCCTTCTTGCTGTAGAGCAGGGTGAGCAAGTATTCTGGTGATAGAATACTTGCTTACCTCAGTGGAGAAATGCATGTTAAGCATTTTCTTTAACCAGAGCAATGCCATGTAGTCTCTCTGTCATTGTCACAGAAATGTATAGGAAAGAGTGAACGAAAGGAAATCTTCACTGTCATGTGACCCCTGAAACTATAGTTCCCACATCCTGGTAGATCCTGCTGCTGCAAATTCATTAGAAATTATCAGAGGCAGAATTTCCTGCTGATTTTTGGCAGGAAATAATATAAAACAATGGGAAAAAGTTATGCTAAATGTCAAGTAAATTTAATACGACAAGAAAGGGAGGTGGTTTGGAATGTACAGATTCTCTCCAATAATGGGAGGGAAAGAAGGCCCCCTAACTTACACTCACTATAAATACTCTCTCAAATACTGATAATAAAACAGTAATTTTAAAAGACTGGCACCTGGCTGGTAAAAAGCAATCCATCTCTGCTGTAAATGATCCTTGCCCTTCTTGTATTTCAGCCTGTATAATAGATTTTTTTTTGGTTCGCTTGTTACAATAATGTATGGTGTTGATGGCAACATTGAAACCAAAGGCAAATTATAGCACAAATATTTTGGAGTGAATTCAAATGATTTTATTCACCAGGTGTTAAGAATAGTCTTCCCAGCAATGCTGCAAGTGCTCTTCCAGCTCTTCCTCACACAGTGGAGATTAGGTTGCCCTGAACTGGGATGCCAGGCAACACTCATAGGACACAATGTTGCTCACACCTGGCTATCTGCAGGAGAGCACCCCAAACAACCCTCAGTCTCCCCCCCCAAAAAAACCAACAGCAACCCTCCTACCCACCCCCATCCCAACCTTGGAGGAGAGGCACCCACTACCCCCTGAGCCCAGCTAGATTTAAGTAATACATACCAGGTACATAGATGGATACAAGGCTTTGTCCATAAACTAATTTTCTAAATAGCTGACCTCTTCTTTCAGACAGCTAGTCCCCAGGGTAACTTTGCTGCAGTTTTGGCTTAAAGCTTAAGCAACAATTTTGTAGCTTCTTTTGCTTACTCAGCAATTACCAATAAATTGTTTTTTTCCTCAAAGCAGAAATGCTGTTGCATATATCACTTTAGAGTATGTCAATGACGAACACAGACGAAAGGAAAGAATGCCTTTTGCATGTACAAAATGTTACCCTCATTTTACAAAATCCATAACAGGAATATTGAAAGATAAAATGAGAGTGTTGTTCTGAAAATATGTTCTAAACAAAGGACAATGTATTCTGTTTTGTTTTTATAAAATGTCTTTTGAAAACATTTGAGGAGAACCCTGGGAAATTGATAACTTTCTTCACCAGCTTTTAAGCAAATATTTCATTAGTGAGGAAAAAAGGGATAGACATGGTAAGACATCGTAATGGGGACATCGTAACTCAGGCGTGCCTGTTTCCATAAATCTATGTAACTGTCATAATTCACAACCCTGTAATGCTTCTTAAATTACTTGTGATGCTTTTTTTCCACAAGAACTATCCAGTTAGCATTTTGCATAGCCCAACATGTAGGAGTGAAGTTTCCCTAAAATACAAGTCAAACTGCATATCTTGTTCTTCTTGGAAATACAAGGAATGCTTCTTCCTGATCTTGATTCAGTTGAAAACCCAGATTTATCACAATATTTGAAGTTGCTCTTAGCTACTAAGTTCTCACCTGCAATACTTTTTTATTTTTATTTTATTCAAAAACAAAAAGTTAAAATACAAAACTCCAAAATATACACATATGTATATTGTGTATGTTTATATGTGTTAATTATTTTAATGTACTTTTTTCAGTGTCTTGTTTGTTTTTGTGTTTTGTTTGTTTGTTACCTGCAAGACTAAAAGTGTGGTGGTTTAAATGTACATATCTTGCATCTTTTACTTTTTTTGTTCAGATTGTGCCCCTATAGAGAAAGCTAATAATTCAGTTGGCCTGTGATGGATAATTTTTGTCTTATGCGTTCCAATGTTAGTATTAAAAGCAATGGTATATGTAAAAATAGATGTTGTAATATATACAAATGCTTCCTATCAGATTCTAGACCTCATCATTTCCCCCATTATTATTAAAAAGCAAATTCATGAGACTAAACTAGATTTGAAATTGATTTGCTGCTAATTAAAGATTGTCCTTGACTTACAACCATAAATGAGCTTGGAATTTCAGTTACAGGTCATTGTGCTCCTAACTTGAGGCACCATGTGACCAGACACGATTTATGACCATTTTTGCAAGCAAGTCACCACAGTCATTAAGTGAATTACTGTGGTACCTCAGAACTCATCATTGATTGGTTTGGGGAGGTGCAATGAGTACCAAAAATGATGAGTACCAAACACATTTTTCCCATAAGGAATAATGTAGTGAGTCACAAAACAACTGACAAGTTCTAGCTTGTGTGTCAAGTATCAAATAAACTATGAGTACTGGGACAAAATTTTCACATCAAAATACATTGAGTATCAAATTTGATGAATTTCAAAGTAGTTTAGTACTAAGATTATGTGGTTGTTAAACAAATCCAGCATATCCAATAGGCATTTTCTGACAGAAAATGGCAAAAAATGTCACAAATCGCAGAACACATGATCACAGAACACTGCAGCAAGTCATAAATGTGAGGCAATTACCAAGTGCCCAAACTACAATCATGTGACCATGGGGAGGGAAGGTGGAAGTCATAACTTCAAGAATGGGTTATAAAAGTCCAGTGTAACTTTGAATGGTAGTTAAATGACTAGTTGTAACTTGAGGATTACCTGTATTTGCATAATTGGGAAAGAGCTTAGAATCTGGAATGTAGAAATCTACCTAATAGCAGATAGATTTCCTTGGCTATCTTGTTATTTGGCCTGCTCTAACTAGCAACATTTATCCTGAATCTCTGGCAGGAAGGCTTTGATATTACCTCTTATATTTGATGATTTTACCCTGCCCTTTGGGAGCCCCTTTTATTACAGCTGGTCTAAAGATGCAGTTTTGGACTTCCCATCAGTTCTCCTTGAAACTGGATAAATAAATAAACAAGGAAATAAATTCATATTCTTTATGAAAAAGCATATGCTAAAACACTGTTGTCCTTTATTATCAATGGGCCGAAGCAATTCTTTCTCACTTCCCGAAATGATCAAAAAACACCCAGGGAGTAAATGTTTGGATGATCTTACAATAGACTATCTCCTTGCTTCTGTGGGATGCAAAATGATTGTGGGGCGAAGTAGCAGTGGAGCAAGGCAAGGAGAAAGGACCAAAAGTCCCTGGTGCCTCCTTTTCAGCCTTTAGATAATAGATGGGCAGTCCAGAATTACATACCTAATAATTAGTTGAGTCCTAATTCACTGAGTCCAAGAACAGAGGAGCATACTATGTGATTAAAATTTAAAAATTATCTTTTGAAGCAATTAGTATATGTGAATTAAATGTTACCAGTGTATCAAATGAATGTTTCTTACAAGTCTGTTGTAGCACTTCCTTGAAAGAAAATACTATTCTGTGGTAGCACATCTGACTTTTAAAAAACCTTCTTTTCCCAGACTTTGAGTTTTGTTTTATTTTGCTTTTCTTTCTCCCTTTTAGAAGCAACACACCCTCTCTTTCTCTCTCTCTCCCCGACCCCTGACAATCACTTTTTTGTAATGACAGCTGTGTTGGATGGGCAGGCCAGGATGTAGGGTGGAGAGAGATAAGTACTAACTTTTCCTTTTAGACTAGGAGGTAAAAGGGCCAGATGTCCTGTTACAGCGACTATAAGGTGACAAGCCCCTTTCCTCCTGATCCCTTCCAACCATTCATTTTTTCTGGAAGAAAAACTAAATAGGCCACATAGCCTGTCCCAGGCCTTCTAAATTAACCTGATGTCTTTGATAACTCAGAGCAGAGGAATGGCTTTATTATTTGCAAATTCTTTGATTTCTGTACAAAGAAGGTACCGGTATCTTATTCCTGTTATTCTTGTCCTCTCCCTTAGAGAGCAAAATGACTTGGTCCGATCTTGAACGTAGGTCAGTAGAACAGTAGGGTGTTGTATTGAACCCTCTATTCCGAGGCTTCATTCTAATGCAAGCAGAAACCCAAATTTTGTTTCCAGGACTTCATAACATTTGGTTTTAGCAGAAGCATCTAAATCTCAAGTTGTTTTAGTAGATACAAGTGTCAGGGAAATTGTGGTGTAGTCATCTTTGGTTTCATGTTCCTTTTTCTGTCAGGTTAGGTTTTTTTTTTCTTTATTTTAAATCACGTACTACAAAAATTAAATCAACTATCTTTTCTTTTTAAGAGGCACAAGTTTTAACTGCTATGTTTTACACTAGACAATGGAAACCTGTGTGTGTGTGTGTGTGTGTATCATTGCAGAAGCAACATGGATTGTGTAATTTGTTTCAGTTGTGTTCCATTGCAGTTAGAAGTTACTTTACATAATTCATGTCAAAATTTGCACAATGGTATCTTGACCTGTATCTGACACTTATGTGTAGGCCACTATATATCTGGTTAATAGGAGTTTTAGAAATCTTCGCTAGTGGAATAATCTCAGTTATATACAAGGAAAAAAAGTCCTTACATTTTCTATATTTATTTTTTATCATTCCAGCAAACAGCCACTAGGAAATCATGAATATATTCAACACTGCAGAAAGTTTGACATAGATATCCGGTTGCAACTGATGAAGAGGAAGGCTGTTCGCACTGACCTGGCTAGGACGGTAAATGTCTGGCTTATAAACATGAAAACAGACTCTGACAAAATTGTTGCTTTTTAGCCAGTTCTAATTCAGATGAAATACATACAGTGTTTCCATTAACATAATGTAAGAGCATGTTTGGTAGAAAAACAGTTCTTAGATGTTGAGGGCTAGAACAAAGTCTTGACTTAAACTTAACTCTTTATATTATTTTTTAATATTAATGTTTGTTTGAATTATTTTAATCCATAATTGTCAATGGAGCAGCATTTGCCACTCTTCTTGTCTAGCTATAAATCTTTAGTTCAGGACTGTAACCTTACTTATTCTTAATGAGGAATAGTAAGATTCAGAATATGTCTAATACTAGAGGGTGACAACCTGCTCTCTAGAGTCTAAGAATCTTTGTTGTGGTCCTTAAAGGCATCTGAGATTGTACTGCTGGTATTCAGTACCAAAAATATAATCCCTCCTTTTAATAAAAATATATCCCAAAAGAGCTATGCTAATTGTCTGTGAGTCTTAACATATATCTTAGCAAATATCCCCCCCCCAAACGACCCAGATAAAGTTCAGCCCTGCATCCTCTGGTGATATTATTAACATGCCCACTGAAGTCCTCAGAGGCAATTCACAATCACTGTATTAATCATCATAGTAACTCCAAAGTGTGGCGTCTTGATTCCTGTTGACATGCCACCTGCAATGTAGAATACTTGTTGGTACAAATATAATTTTGATCAGATGTGCTGATACCTGAGAAGTGAGAACAACACTCACACCTGGGTGTCTTATTTATGCAGAACAATTGTTAATGCTAGCATGCATAATTTTATACTTGGTTAGAATTGCTGCAATTAAAGTGTTTCTTGCGTTGCAACAGCTTCAGTGATAGTTTGTGCTAGACAAATTGTATCTCCCGAACATTAGAGAAGTTATCAGTGGTGTAATTTCAAGACAACAGCTTTAAAAAACAGAATGATGACAAGTCAGTAGTGATGTATAAAAGAGTGGGTCTATGTACCAATGTTCAAAGCTGAATCCTTTGCTTTAATATTTTTGTAGAACAGACCAGAAAACCATCTGCTTAGCATCTTAAGATACCTGTTTTCAGAGGCAGTCTTACAGGTCTATTCTGCTTCTCAAAAATCTAAATCAGATTTAAAAATTATTTTCTAGAAATGAAATTATTCCTGCAAATGAATAAGTAAGTAATCCTTTTGCCAGAAAGAAATTCAGTGCTCTGTCTCTTGGGAAACATTTAGGCATACAAATATCTTTTGTAGTTAAAAGCATTATTTACTTATTTATTTATGCATTCAATCAATCAGTCAATGTATATGGCCAGTTATTTTACAAAAAAGGGCTCTGGGTGGCATATAAGGGTTAAAAACAATTGACCAACAACCATAATGTCCAAGGTCACTAATACAACCAACTCATAACCATCAGAGCTTGTCTAACCATCTGCCCCAAATTACCTGGGGGAACAGGCAGGTCTTTAATAGCTTACAAATAGCTAAAAGGACTGGGGCCATCTGGATCTCCAAAGGGATGTTGAGCAGGTGCTTCCACAGAGAAAGCTTTACTCTGGAGTCCAATAAGATGACATTATCTAATGAAAGGGACCTGAAATATGCCCTCCGTGCTAGATTAGTGAGGTAAGCAGACAGTATGGAAATCAGGTTGTCCTGCAAATAGGCTGGCCTTATGCCATGTAGGCTTTATAGGTAATGACCAGCACCTCCCAGAAATCCACTGGGAGCTAGTGCAGTGGTGCTATATAGGCCTAAAAAGAAACACCAACAGCTGCAGCTTCTGAATGCTTTTCAGGTCCATTGCAGAGTGCATTACAGTAATCCAGATGGGAGTCACTGTGAGCAAAGTCTTCTGGTCCAGGAATGGGTGCAATTGGTGCATGAGATAAACCTGTACAAATATCCTCCTAGACATGCCTACCATTGATTCTTCAAGCAGGAGACATGAGTGTAGGAAGAGCTCTAAGTGCGCCGCCCTGAGTCCCTGTCGGGAGAAGGGCGGCATATAAATTAAATTAAATAAATAAATAAATAAATAAATAAATAAGTTGAACACTAAGATGAGAAATCTCTGGATCCTTGTGGAGAGGGGTAGTGGTTGGGGGCCTTAAAACTACTTGGTCTTGCAATGGTTAAGCAGAAGCCTTAATCCAAACCCCAACACCCTCATGGCATTTGATAAGAATCTTGATGGCATCACCTAGCTGGCCCAAGGCAGAGATTTACAGTTTCGTTATCAAACAGTAGCACAGGCAGCTTTGCAGCAGGCGGCCTTAATGAGTGTAACAGAGAGGTGTTGAATACTGTTGAGCAACTGTCTTTCTTAATGTAGGTGAATGATGACCAAAGCCCTTCTACACTCAACCACTATGTTCATCTCCAGGAGAGGCCAATCAAGCAGACCATCACCAGGTAAAACAAATATGAATAAAACTGCAGTGTAGTTTGCAGAGAAAATATACAAAATAGAACTTCTGTGGACTGTTATAGGCTAATATCAAATGACAAAAAGACAGATAAAGAGACATAGCACTATTTGAGTTCTTAATGTGGGCCAGCCATGTTTGCAGGCCATATGGGGAAAATCTGGTAGGACATATGGTTAGCATGAAAATGTTTCATGTTCAAAATGTTCCATGTTCAAATATGGCTGAAAAAAACATGAAGAATTGCCAATCAGGACAAACCGTTCTGAGCTAGAAGTGTACATACAGGCTTTGACTTGACATAAATCAATCCTCCACATGAAACAAACTTTTATCCATACTGAGCTGTTCATTGTTGCTTCTTCCTATAGGCAGGCCCTGACCCTTCTTTTTGATACCTTCCACAATGAGGTGGATGCATTCTTAGCAACTGAGGTAAGATGGCAATCTTCAGATTTGGGGAGGGGGGGCAATATCTTGATGACAAGCTCAGTTTCAGGAAATGGAAAGCACATTGGACCCTTTCATGGCTGGACAGGTCAGTAGCAGTTCCACAGCATAACCTCAGAGCTCTGTGCTGAAATCAGAATGGTAAATCCCAGCAGCAGAGTAGCAGCTGTTGAGACCAATTGGTTGGGTTCGGTTGATGTTGCTACCACTGCTATGTTTATCATCCTCAAAGTAAGGGGCATGGAGTGGAGAGGTTGCCACACATGAGTAAGTTTCATTGTTGCTACCACTATTAAGGAGCCCATCCTGCGCAGGTACTCCTGAGGTCTTGCCAGATTTGGTGCTAGTCTTGCCTAAATTATGCTTTTTAATGATATTTTGAAGATCGTACTTTGTTGTATTATTTGATGTGAGTGAATGTTACTAGAAATGTAAGTATTATATTTTAGTAATCTCTAGGATATGACATTACCCATCCAAAAGGTCACAATGGGTAGCCTAACAGTTCTACACCCCTTCTAAGCTACTCTCATCTCTAATTTCCAACAACCACCCCATTGTAAAGCTTACAGTTTTCAGAATTTGTACCATTGTGTTTATGTTCTTGCTTCCTGGCAGAGCTTGTTTGAATAACAGCAGAATAAGAAGTTTCTGGACTTTGTTTATTAATTTATTATTCAAATTTGTATAGTCGCCCATCTTAGTGTTATATAATAAAGATATGCAACCTTTGGGGGACTGAATGCTACATTCAGTCTTCCAGAACATATCTAGGGCTGCCTGCCCACAGTAGACAGGTCTAGAATGCATGAACAATTGTAGTATGTTAGTCGGCACCAAGGCTGGGTCTTGAAGAAATATATAGTACACGCTTGCAGAGGAGGTGCATCACTATTTGGGCAGCACCAGTAAAAATTAAAATCAGAAATGAACAATGAGAAGACAGCAGCTGAACCTGGACTGCCATGGTTGTATTTTAGTAATGGTGGGCAGGATGAATATAGGAAATATTGGGTGGTAAAGTGGCAGTGTGTAGAATAGTGGCAGACCCACTTAGTTTCACCTACACTACAGCATCCCCGAGGGACCAAGTGATGCAAGAAGGTGCTCAGCACTAGACATTTCAGCATAAAAGGACTGATTCTCATTCCTGTAATTCATAGGTTTACTGCTAAATTGGTGGCAAATTTGTAGAGCCCAGAGGCTCCATCCAGGCTTTTTGGGATGAGGGGGCAAGTACCTGCTATTTATCGGTTGTGCATCTCTGTTATAAAGCAGTATAACATCTGATATCTTCTGTGTGCTTTGCTTACTCTTTTGAAGATACTAAAATAGTATTATGGTAATAAAACAAATATATTTTGTGATAATGTGAAGAAAATAAGTGATAAACATATTTCGCCCACTGTGGTTTCCTCCAGTCTATTCCCCTACATCTCATTGCTCACAGCTTGTTTTATTTCCTTTCTGAAACTGATTAGCGAAGGGGTTTTTTTTTTAGTGCTTCTTTAATGGGACCATGTCTGCTTATAAAGATAGGCAGTTAACACAGTTCTTGCTCACTCTACATTTTCCTCATTCCATCTTGACTACTTTATGGGAGTCAGATTTCCCAACATAAAGTTGGGGCATAAGGGTGCTTGGGATAGCAGCCAAGAGGCTGTACTACATAGCAGTATGAACTATCAGTCAAAGCAAGAAAAAAAGAAAAGAAAAAAGTTGGGTGTAGAGAAATGATTCTCAGGTTCTATTTTTTTACAATTGTCAGCAGAGCACCATAAGGTAGAAAGTTCCTCTTTGTTTCAGTTTTCCTTCCTTTTAGAGATAGTTGTATATGTATGCATAAATGCATTTTGTTTTTGCTGCCAGGTTCAGATCTTTGTGAAGCTTTGGCCTTTGCCCAGCTTTTTCTTTCCAGTTAGAATAATCTGTGTTATTCAGCTTTTGATGCAGAGATTAGAATGTTTGTTCTAGATCATATGAGTCACTGAAGTAAGGGATAGGGAAGCAAGAGATCCTTGGAGTTCTTGCAGAAATAGCTACATGGTCAGCACTGCCACTGCATTTAAATATTCTCCTTATCTTTATCTTGTATTTTCTTACTGTTAAACAGTTACTTTATGTCTGTAAGGACACAGCTAAATAGTTATGAGACAAAAAAGTGGAAAGAGGGAATTGAGGAAGAAGAACATGAATTTAGAGCGGCAGATCCTTTCAAGGAGGAGACATACGGAAATCTTCAAAAAAATTTAAATGTGAAGTTAGCATTTCCTTTGAGTCTTCCTGTTTCAGAACCTATAAGTTAAGAACTTACAGAAGTATAAAGAACTGTATAGAATAGGTCCCTACTCAATTGAATGGGACTTACTTCAAAAAACTTGCATTAACAGAATGTGTATCTTAATGACTCACTATGTCATAGAACTCATAAAATAACAGAGTTGGAATGGACCTTGGAAGTCTTCTAATCCAACTGCTTGAACAGGAGACTTATACCATTATGGATAAATGGTTGCTCAATCTCTTCTTGAAAACCTCCAGTGATGGAGCACCCACAACAGTCCTTCAGCTCCAGCTGCCTCTCCCTCAGGCTTGGGTCATTTTGGCTCATTGCCCTCCTCTGCTACACTTCTCTAGGACAGTTGCGTACCACTTGCCAATTGAAAAGCCCTGCACTAGGATACCTAGATCCCTCTCACAGATTCTGATGTTGGACCAGGTATCACCTATTATGTATTTGTATGTTTGGGGTTTTTTTGCCTAAGTGTAAGACCTTACTTTTTTCATCACCAAATTACATTTTTTTTTGGACAGGACCCAGTGTTCAAATCTGCCAAGATCCTTCTGATTTTGACCCTATGTTCTAAAGCGTTGGCTATTGCTCCCAGTTTGATGTTGTCTACAGATTTCATGAATTCCCCTTTTATCCCCTCATTAAATAATGTATGAATAAGTTGAAGAATCCTGGGCCTAAGACAGAACCATGAGGTACCTCACTGCATGCTTCCTTCCATTTAGATATAGTTCCATTGAGAACTGAACACTGAGTACAATTGGTCAGCCAGTTGTGAATCCATCTAGTGGTGATGCTGTCTATCTCACATTTTTTCTGTCTTACCAAGAAGTAGGCTGTGGTCAAATGCCTTACTGAAGTCTAAGTAAACTATGTCCACAATATTTGCCTTATCCATTAATTTAGTCACTTTGTCAAATAATGCAATAAGATTTGTCTGGCATGATCTGTTTTTAACAAACCCATGTTGGTTTTTAGTAAAAGCTTTGTTCATTTCTAAGTGTTCCCAGATCCATTGCTTAATTATCTTTTCCAGGATTTCCCCAGGTATTGACATCAGGCTAATAAATCTGTAGTTTCCTGGATCCATTTTTCCCCCTTTTGAAGATTGGAACCACATGAGTGCTTTTGCAGTTCTCTAGTAGTTTCCCATTGCTCCAGGAGTTTTGAAACATTTGGTTTAGTGGTTTTGAGATCATGTCTGCCAGCTCCTTCAGAATCCTGGGATGCAATCCATCTGGTCCTAGCGATTTGAGCTCATCTGGAGTGGATAGATATTCTCTTACGATTTTCTTTGACTTGTATTTCTATTCTGTCTTCTATGGTTTTGATTGGTTAGTCTCCCCCCCCCTTTTGTAAAGATAGATGCAATTAAGCAGTTTCCACTTTCTCACTGCTACCTGTCACCTCCTTGACATCTTCTCCCATTAGTGGACTGATCATGATTGTATCACTATGATAATGTATCTCTATGCTCAAAATGTTTGAGGTCAGAACCTGCATCATTAGATAAATAAAGAGTTGGTGGTTTTGTAAAGAAATGTGTGCATGGTGAAGGAAAAAAATAATACCAAAGGGAAAATAAATTATAGTACAAAATTAAGCATATTTTTGTTTAATCTATCCTTCTATCCAATCTAAGAAAGAAACAATTGATAAGCTACTTGGGACAAATATTATGCAGCTTTGATGTAAGTTGTATATATGAGAATGAGAGAAACATATGATGTTTAACTATTTCTTATTCTGTTTTAGAGTTTATCCATAAACAATTTCAAATGCATATAGAATCCTAAACAATTTATATTTGATTTTGTAAAGATTAAGCTGTTAAGTCCTCTGTAAAAAGGAAAAATAATGCTTTTATAGTTGAATGTACATACAGAAATTGCTGTGAAAGTGATTTCAGTTTCTACAGAGCACAGTTTTTACACTTTGCATCTTATTTTTCCTGTTTGATTCACTTCTATTCCTTTCTGGTTTTGCTTTATGGAATCCTATTTCTTCAAGTGCTGCCCAGTGAAGGAAAAGAATTATAGATTTTTCTTCCACATCTTCAGCAAATCTGATCCTTACAAACTATATACAACAGAATCTTCTCTGGACTCTTATCCAATAAATACCTGCATTTTACAGGCAATAGGTGCAATAAACAACAGTGCCTCTTAGTGGCAATTCTTTCTATGGTTTCTGGAGCAATCACTTGAATTAAATTGATGGAAGGTGTTAATAGTATCACATGCCTTCCAAATTCTACATGAAGGAATTGAAGCACATTAGATGTAGATTTTGGAAGTCAAGTGATGCTACCTTTTTCTTTTTACATTCAAGTATGACTTCAGATATGTCTTGATGTTGAAATGCATATGTTGAAAAACATATCTGAAGCCATATTTGAATTTAAGACAAAAAAGGTGGCAATAATTTTTCTACAACATTCTGTTTAGTTTTGGGCCACAAAGATAGTGAAGAGAAAAAAGGACCATCTCAAGTTTAACTAAGTTACTGTCTTTGATTTGTTGAAACTGATACATTTCTTTTATATATTTTCTGTGCTAAAGCTCACAAAAGCTCAGAGGTGAGAAAAAGGGACAGACTCTTCTTTTCTAAATTAGAATGTTTACTGTAGTGGTACTTTTAGGTAAATAATATATACATATTTCCAATAGATACAACAGCCTTGATTTAACTAACTATATATAGGTAGTACTACATAAAAAACTCCAAACAGAAACTCTTACCTGTTTCACTCCCTCCTGCTCTCCTTGATTCATGCAACTTCATTTAGGACTTTCATTTGTGAGAATAGGGAGAGAGAAAAATAAAAGTTTCTCTCTTTAATTTTGACACCTTTGCCAAGGTATCCTGCTCTGAGGATGTTCTTGCTGTTGCTTTTGGGAAGAAATCTCCCAATGATATCATCGGAGAGGAAATACTTGAATTCCACATCCGTGCCTGCTAGATCTTGAAGACTCCTAAGCCAAGTGTTAACACAAAGATATAAATAACATAATATAAGTAGCTCATTCTTTTCAATGTTTCAATTATTCATCCAGGGAGATTTCCAACTGAAAGCAGGGCGGGTAGTCCAGTCCGTCATGGCCATTTGCAATGCTTTGGCTGCTGTAGAGTCCCAAGAAATCACTGCAGCCCTGAATCAGCTACCACCTTGTCCACCTCGCATGCAGCCCAAAATCCAGAAGGTAAGAAATAAGAGTCTGAAGCTCAGAAACAGCGAGTTTGAATCTGAACATTAGAACCAAATAGATGAAAATGATAGGAGGGGAATTCAATGTATGCAAAGATAGGAGAAGAGATGCTACTGCAGCTGCTTTTCCCCCCCTTTTAACTACAGTAATGGTATGTTGCATTCTATCCACTTACTTTCTTGAACTATTTTGCTCTCTGCAAAGGAACCATTGTTCTTTCTACCTTTTTTAGAGGTAGGTGAATTTATTTACCTACCAACATAGATTTATGTGCCCCTCCAGACAAGTAAGACACTGATTAATATGTGTATAAGGTGAGAGCTTAAGTTACTGAAGCTCAATCCATTTTGGATACTTTCTTCTATGTGATAATTGCTGGTTCCAGCATGGCGCTAAGCTTAAAATAAATCACATTATGATTTCATGCAATGTGTAAGCCCAGACCAGCTAATGGAATAGTTTAAGATTAATTAAGTGATTGGTAACTTATGGCCATAACAAGATAGAAAGGGGAATATTCCCTCATTCTTCACGATTGGTAACTTAAGGCCAGAACAAGATAGAGAGGGGAATATTCCCTCATTCTTCACTATCTTGACCTGCATGACAGATACGGTGTGTGGCTGAACTTTAAGCCATTAGCATTAGAAGAAATGGAACTTAAGGCAGACCCTCAGAAAGGATCTATTTAAAAAGTAGCATTTCCAGTCTGAACCTTTTTGAGCTTATGGACAATAGTCTAATCAAAGGAAATACCCATTTCCCAGGAGATAATTAAAAACCCTATCTGGAAATATGCTTAATTAAGACATTAGAAATTATCTCTGAGTTTACATTGACAAGTCAAACTGCGAACCTGCCTCAGTTGCATAAATGGGTAGAGTAAAGAATCAAGCCAAACTCTGTAGATAAATAATTTTAGCAATGTTCTTCCAGATATGTAGATTTCCATATGTAAATCCCCAGCCCACTTAGTTGTTGCTAAGAATTCTGGGAGTTGGTCCATCTGGAGGACCTTAGGTTGTAGAATTTTAGCATTGAGAATAAAAAGATCCACTTAACATTGGAGCAAAACAGTAGGATGAGTGTACCTAACTATTTGCTATTAGGATTTAGTGAATAAACTCAGTTAGGATTCCTCATTATCTCTCATGGGTGGTTTTCAGAATTGAAACATGTCTGTGTACTGTATATAAGGTGGTTGACTCATTAACATTAATTATTTTCAATTTTGTTTTTCTTTCCTGAACAGGATCCAAATGTTTTGGCCATGAGGGAGAACAGAGGTAAAAATTTCCTCTCTAATTTGTGAATTCTGGAGGCTTTAATATTCTGTTGTTTCCTATAGCAACAAAAATGATATCAACAACAATCATGGTGTATATTAGTTTTCGGAGTCCATTGAGTTTTCATTTAGAATGAATACATAAAATGGAAAATTCCTTTGAGCAAGCTCTTTGGACAGCTGATTTATCTTGGTCAAAGAAAATAGTAGTGGAAGATTTAAAAAAAAAATGCTAATTATACCTTTGTGAGGCTATGTTTGTTAGTTATAATATCAGAGTTCTTTGAAATAGGAACTCTTATAAAAAGTTTTTTTTAATCAAAAGTAGTGATACTGTGATATTGGTTAAAACTTCTACCCATTTTCTCAATTGAACTAGATTCAGTTTTCGCCCATAGGGCAAGGCTTATGAATACCAGCATGTTTTGAACATTAGACACATCACAGCTTTATAGAAAAGGAGCATTCCAGGGAAGAAAAGAGTAGTGTTCAGTTCAGTGGTAAAGAATTTGGGATTGCTCTTGCTTTGGGTTTTTTTTGTTTGTTTGCTTGTTCGTTTTATTTTTTTGTGGCCTAGCAAAACTGATTTTTATATAGATGTTACTGTAAGTGATAATATGGACATTAGTCAAACAATTACAGGCAGAAAAGAGGGCAGCCTCTTTTCACAACAAATCATTAGGATGTGTTATGAGAATATGAGATATGAGAAATTGTCTTCTGGAAGCCATGAGTTGGGTAAAGATGAATCAGGAGTCAAAATGAATAACTTTGGAGAAGAATGTGCTACAATACTTTTAGACTAAGTTCACACACTCTGATAAGACATGGTTTCTTTAATCAGCTTGCCCCAAAACCATACTTGGCTGAGTTTGCTTAAATATTAAGCAAAAAACAAACTGCCTTCAGAAATGACAGTTGCAGGATTCAGACGTGCTAAACAAAAAACAAACCATGTTATGTGAAGCAATACAAGTAAACAAGTAAAGTTTTTATTTGTTATTTCCAAATGTTTCAGATTTTAATTTTTTAAGCAATTTTTTCTGAATTCCAACAATATCTAAATAGAATCCTCTCTCCAACAGAGAAAATTGTAGAAGCTTTGACAGCCTCTATCTTGGATCTGGTGGAGCTCTATTGCAATACCTTTAATGCAGACTTCCAGACAGTGGTACATGGGAACAGAAAGCATTCATTCTCCCAAGAGGCCCGACTGCTTTCCTGTTCACTGTCCTTCACAATCTATGCTACGCATCGTATACCCATCACCTGGGTTACAAGGTAAGTAAGAACATATTTTTTGTAAAAACTTGGCAAAGGACAATAGCATTTTAAGCTAGACCTAGGGACTAGGTTGGAGACATCAATCTTTAAGTCCAGCTTCAAATGAGGAGGCTTGCTAGGTGACTTTGGGCCACAAAGTGCCTTTTAGCTCTGTGTACCTCACATGGATAACAATGGAAAGGGAATTGCAAAAAAGATGAAATGGAATAATAAAATAATAATGTACAGGTCTACAGGTATTGGAGGGATATGGGGATGCCTCAATCCCACTTTGAAGTGGCCAGTCAACAGAGAGTCCTTTCTGGCATATGGGAGAGGGCATCTCTCGTGGTTCCCAAGCTATGGAATGCATCCCCAAGGAGATGTCTTTGGTCCCCTTTCCCAGTTTTAAAAAGAATGCCAAAAACACATTTCTACTATTAAGATTTTAGCTATTAACTAAATTGATTTTAATGATAATGATATTGATCTTAAGTTAATTGTATTGTCTTGCTTTTATGTTTCGTAGATTTCTTTGTAATTGTTCTAAGCTGGCTTGAATATTATATGAGATATAAATCTAATAAAATAACCAGAATTGTAGAATATTATTTTCTATGAAAATCACCAGTGTCCATTTTTGCCACTGCGGGGTAAAAATCAGAGACAGCATCCATAAGAGAACTCAATATACTTAATAGTACATATTCTGCTCCCTTCCCCATGACAAGCTCTTAAAAGTACCTTTAAATAGGGTCTATTCACCTTGAAAGAAAGAGGCTAGTTGGTCAGATGAGCAACTAAGATCTATATACTAGATTCTTTGTTCTCCTGCAAATCTTGTTCTGGAAACTCCCTGGGATGCTCCATTAGCACAGTCCACAGGCACTCTCCTTCCTGGGCTTGGCTCTATAGACAGTGACAGATGGCTGTTTCTCAGCCTGGGCTTCTCCTCTTCGGCCAAGACTGCTAGTGGAGGGGACTCACCTAATGGATATAGGGACAATACGAAGGGTGGGAGTGTGGGAGTGGATGCTTCTTTGTAAACACTCTTTGCTCATGTGTTTTCATTCCAATAAAAACAGGGAAGCAGTGCCTGGGAGTAATGCACCTCTCCAGCAGAAGGAACACGTGGGAGGTGGTTGTAGAAGTTAGCTGCCATCCCTCTGGGGACCTCTTGCTTTTGTTCCATCCTTAATGTATTCCACTGAATGAGTGACTCTGAACAAAAGCAGTAGCCTGGGAAATCCAAGCCTGTCCTGACCTTTGTTACTCAGTAAGCCCTCCTAGCATCATCGCTCGGCACCTGTCACATGGCTGGCCCTCTGACAGAGCACCCTGTGATGGCATTCTAAAAGGCGTATGTCCCTCCAGCTGGCTGAGAAGGAAGTAGAAAAACATTTCTGAAAAGATGATAACCCAGGAAACACCCCATGGTTGGTCTGTTGGTGGGGGTGAAAATCTGTGGGAGAACTGTCCCTTTCTAGCCATCTTCCTCCTCCTCCTCCTCCTCCTCCTCCTCCTCCTCCTCCTCCTCCTCCGTTCAACTATCTGAGCTGAAAAGTGTCTCGGATAAGGCATCTTTCCGCTCAGCTCTGGATCTGTTCAAAGTGTGACTTAATTTAGGTTAAAAACTGGTTTGGTTTAAACATCCCATGGTTTAAACATGGCCATGACTTGAATTTAATGTGTTGTGTAGAATTTCGGTGGCCAAAGATGCCCCTTTATTTTGATGCCAGAAAGAAAGACTCAGGATTCTTAGGATAACAGCAAAGATTGTAAACTTTAGAATCTTGAAATGTGGAAATTTCCCTTTAAAAATCATAGAAATGGAAGAGGATATTATTTTGGTTTGTCATATAGTCAGCCACATGTTTAGGTTGGATTTGGCATTTTTATCCACCTATCAAGTCCTTCTCAAGGATATGGGATAAACAGGTAAAAAACTGATGGTGTTAGAAATATGGTGACAGGAGGTAGGTTTTCCGAGTAAAGTTGCAATTGACTGCTAATGATTTTGTCAATCCCGGTGGTGTTTAAGTGGTTATTGTTATTCCAAAATGTAAATCCAATCCATTTCCTCAAGCATATTAATCATACACACATGTGCCCACCCACCCAGACAGAGAGGGAGAGGGAGGGAGGGAGCTGCTAGTTTTATAAAGCTTTATAAAGCATGACGACTTTTGTCTCTTGACCTCCAGTATTTTCATTAGTATGTCACATAACCAATCATACAAAACAACGCCAGTATTATTTTGGTATGGAGGAAACAGGGAAAATTCTGTGATATTATAAATGTAGGTGTAGTATTATTATTAATTGTCCTCTTCATCTCAGACATACAAAAGTGGCTAATAATAGCTTTTAAAATTAAAAAAAAAACTAGGGAAATTTATTGAAAGACTGAAAGCAGAACTGATGCTAACCGGGCAACACGTGTTCTAATTCTCATGCCCATCTCTCAAACCAACTTCGGATAAAAGATCTTTCAAGGCTTCTGAAAATTTCTTGGCCTTTAATGAGTCTCAGGTGGACAAGGGAAATTATTGCTGAAAGTCTTTTCCTAATTGGGGATTCCTCTGGTTGCATGAATAATCTTTGGGCACATTATAGACCGAACATGAACCATCTGGAGTTTTCTTTTATTAATTGCCCCTTCGAGGGTACCAAACCAGATAGGACATTTCTGGGCTTGGGAATAAAACAAAGTCTCACCTGTGAATAAGAAATAAATCAAGACATTTCTTTTCATGTGAACCTCCTGTTTTTTCTGCATTGCAGTTACATGTTTCTGAAAGCCTCCATTTTTCTTTTCTTTGTTTTGCATTGTGAGATGATGAGAATTTGCTCATCTGACTTTCATTGCCATCCATCTTTCTACAGCTATGAAGATTTCTACCTCTCCTGCTCACTCATCCATGGGGGAAAGGAGCTTTGCACCCCTCTGCAAACCCGAAAAGCTCATGTATGCAAGTACTTCTTTCATCTAATCATCTGGGACCAACAGTAAGGCATCATCTCTTTAATCTCCCTTTGAAGTATAAGAACGGGAGAGATCTATACATTCTTAATGTACAAGATGATGGATTTTTTAAAAAATGCTTTTCTATGAAACGACTACTGTTCAGTGGTAAAGGATATGGTATGCCAGTCCCCAGCATCTCCCAAGAAAGCTAAACCCATTTTTAAAATCTCGAGACCATGTGTCAGGAACCCCACAATGTCAGTGAACATTGGAATAGTTATAACTGAATCGTCAACATACTGTGTGTGTGTGTGCGCGTGCGCACGGACCTGCAAGGATCCCTTCAACTCATTCTTGATTCCTGGTGACCACCTAAACAAGTCTATGCATTGGCAGCATTTTCAGAAATAGCTTGCTGCTGCTTTCTTCTTGGGGCTGAGAGATAGTGACTGGCCTAGTCACCCAGTGGGCTTAATGATAAGACTGGAATAGAACTCACAGTTTCATGTTTTGCAGCTTGGTACTTTAACCACTATGCCAAACTGACTTCAGGCTGGCAATGCCTCATCCCAAACTGGCAGATAACCTCTTCTATAGTGTATATTAAATACAGTGGGGAAATAGAAATAGACCCTGAGGCATTCCTCATTGGAGTACTCAGAAGCTCAACTATTCTATTCCCTTGAGCAACAATTTTTATAGGAGTTCTAGTGGCACAGTCATTAGAATGCAATATTGCAGGTAAACTCTACCCACAGTCTGGAGTTTGATTCTGATGGGGATCGAGGTTGACTCAGCCTTCCAGCCTTCTGAGGTTGGTAAAATGATGACCAAGATTGTTGGGGGCAATATGCTAAAACAGCTCAGAGAATGCTATAAAGTACGATGAAGTGGTATATAAGTCTGAGTGCTATTGCTATCGCTGTTGTTCACTCAGGCAGGACCTAAACCTCTGGAAAACTGTGCAATCCACCATCAATCTTCCAGAAGAATACCATTATTAGTGTATCAAATCCTGCTGAGAAGTCCAACAGGGCCAAGAGCTGTATATTCCAGACTTGACAAAGATAATCTACCAGAGCCAGTGCTGTTTCTCGCCTATAGTCAGAAACAGTTTGATCCCAGAACACTTTCTTCCTCCATCAGAACAGAAGGTGATTTTAGAATGAGCTGGTCCACCCCAAAATTTAACTTTAGAATGGGCTAGTTCACCCCAAAATAATAATAATGTTGAAGTTAGACAATGTCCAATACATTATGTCATCCAGTAGCAAAACAAAGCAGCCTCTATAAAATACATAGTGCCTGACCATCCATTGAACCCAAATTCATGCACTGATAGTTACTATTTATCCTCCTTTTTAATTAAAAATCTGCTTTATGTAATGAGCAGAGAAGCAATATAGGGAAGTGATTGTTATCTATTTTCTATCTGTTATTTTTTTATTCCACATCAGGGTTTCCACAGTGCTCCAGATCTGCTTTTTGAGGGCATAAATATAAGAAGCAACTCTACAATGGGACTTTATTTCTAATATTCCTATGCTACGATCTAAAATTGTTCTAAAACATACAAAAAACATAAAAAAATCAGAGGGCCCTATGTGGCTTGAAAACTGGAGGTTTCTCTTCCATGCTCTGAAGTAATTGAATAAAATAACCAAAATCCCCGATCAATAAAAAGCTTACAAAGCACGTAGCGCATATTATTCTTAAATGAAACTATTGTTCAATGGCTTCTGTACTATGGTCTTTTATTTTTTACATGGGTAACCAATGTGTGGCTTTCCCACCAAGTATCTCTTGGAAACTAGCTTGCAATATTGGAAGAGGAAGAATGTAAACACAAAGAAAGAGGCTTCAGGCATGGCTTTCAGTGGCTTTTTGGCACATGTCCATGATGTGTTTGCAAACTTCAATCTGATCTTAAAAGGTTTGGAGGGGGGGGGTGTTTTTGTTTTGTTTTGGTGAAAGGGGATGGGTAGGCTCACAGAGAAACAGATGGTGCAAAAGTGACAAACTGGCCTGCTAAGTATAATTTGTCCCTAACTGCTTTTGTGATTCTGCAAAATAAACCCTGCGTGCTTGGACAGTTCTTCCCAAGGGCAGATGTCTTCATTTGAGCATCTGACAAAATAACTTCCGAGGGATATTGGATTGCAAAGCAACGGAGAGGGACGGGATATATAGTGCACTTTGGAGTTGTCAAGGTGGGGGATAAGAGAACTTGATCCGAAAATAGCTCAGACAGCAAGAAGTTTGTTGCCCACTGTTCAGCTGCAAAAGTACTTAGTACTTTTATTAGGCCATCAGAACAGGCAGTGCGAAAGATATAATTTTAGAAGTTGTCTCTTCCAGCGAACAACGCCTCAAGACACACTGGAGACCACTATGGAAAGTGTGGCCTAAATTTCTCTTGGTAGGAGTGCTTTATTCAAGCAACTAAAATGGATTAAACCAGAGCGAAAAAGCTGGAATGAGGCGCCTACCACGTAGCTGTTTCTGCCTACCCCTAGCTAGCTGCCAGAAGGGTTTACAGACATGAGAGGTTTTGTATAGCACTTTTGGACTGTCTCTGGGTCACTATGAGGCTTCCCTGAACAGGAGTACTCTCCAGCCTTGCTTATACTACAGGATCAGCCTAGGATTTTGTTGGAAAACCTCTTCTTAAGGTAGTTGTATAGAATGGAGGAATGGAAACTTTGGAAGAAGGTTAGTGTGCCCTGCCCTTCTTTAATCCAGCCCAGAAACCTCCATATAGAAATCTGGCATAGAGGGGAGTTATGTGGAGGTTTTTTGCCGTGGTGATTCCCTCCTATCTGAATTTGGCTTCAGTGGTGTTTAGCTCTAAAGTCCATTTTATATGGCAGAACTCACCTCTGATATCTGGGTAGCATTAATAAATGTATTTCTAAGCATATGCTACATGTCATTTTCTCAGCATTAATAACCACTTGTCAGTTATTGAAGACAGGACTTTTAGGCAAAAGAGATAGTGTTTGCTGCATTTTTTTCACCACTTAAAATGTTTGAGGGATGTGATTCTCTACTTGATATCTTAATGACTACCAGCACTATCATTTTTTATTTAAAATGAAATACCACAGTTGTTCATTTGCTATAATGTTGAATGCTTAACTTGCACAACCTTAAATTAACTCTTGATTCAGCTGTGGAGCTGGCTGTGATCAAATTACTTCCTTCAATTCATTCAGTTCCTGTAAAATTATAATAGTATTGAGAAAAGGCAAAATAAAGCTTTCAACACTTTAATCCTGCTAAGCTGTATATTGAATAACAAAATATTTAGTGAAGTGTGAGGATAATTGTCATGTTTGTTTCAATGGCTAGGCAGCTATTTAGTTCTTTATATAAGACTCCATGTCCTACAATTATAAATTCTAGTATGCGTATTAGAAATCTCTAGTTCAGATGCTAATTCTTTCTCATATAAACATTGCACTGTATATTGTTGCCTCTAGAAGAACACAAATCCTTTTATTTCCTAATAATTTAGTCTTTTGTTTCTGAGCCTCAAGAAGAAAAATCCTAAATACTAAAAATCTCCTTTTCTTGTTTGCCTTTTTCCCTATGAAGAATTAACTTTTTCCTTCTGCCAGAACAGAGTGACTTCAGCCAAGGACTCATGTTGTCTTACCATGCTCTCCCCACTCACTTCTCTTCCAGTGTTGTGCAGGAGAAGCTTAGATGAGATACTGATGTTGCAGCAGTGATAGTCTTTCAGCGTGACCTACTTTTTCTTTGGCAACAGCTATTCTCCAGAAATATTCTTGTTTTAGCAAAGAATCAATATCATTTGGAGGCTGGGTGGGCATGTCCCAGACCACTGTCCTACTTTTGCTTTGCACATTCTTTGATAAAGAGATTAAATATATTAATACATTAAATACATTAGTACAAAAATTGTAGTTAACTAGCACAAAACAGAATGGAAGAGGGAAAGAAGAATTTGTAACAATTTTAAGTCTGTCAGACAGACTTAAGTTTTGAGAAAGCTGGTTTGAGAAAGCGTTACACCACATGCGTCAGTGTGCTCATCTTTTGTGATACCTGCCTATCCAATTCAGTCTGCCATTTAATATGTTGCAATGTACTAGAGCAGCCTTCCTCAGCCTGAGTGCCCCCAAGATTAGAAACTTGTAACACCCAGATTTCTCTAGCCAGCATACCCAGTGGAGAATATGTTCCAGGACAATGTTAAATGGGGAATACTGGGAGAAATTAAAAGGAAAAGTACAAGTACTTATTTTACTTTAGGCTTGCTAAATAAAAGGAAGCCAAAACAGACCATGTTGCTTTAGCACTTGCTTGCAATTGTCACATCTTTAGTGTTGGGACCTGCTAGCTAACATACATACATGGCAGACTGAAACAGGTTTAACTATTTTCTTATCTAGGAAATGCTGAACTTTCTCAGCCTCTTCACCAAACAATGATCTTCAGAATCACAAGAGAGATCATAAAATTAGAACACAACATCGACCATGAAACTCTAATTTGTCAGATACATGATGCACTGAAATCCAGCCACTTAAGTGTATTATGATCTGACACCTCTACACTATTATTTCATCTCCAGTGCTAATTGATTTATTGCGTTTCAGTTGTTTGAGGTGTTACTTACACTTTGAAACCCAAGGAATAACAATAAAGGTTAGTGAGTTCAAGTGAGGCTTGGCTTCCCTATATCCTCTGAGCTAAGGAAGTATCCTAGACCCTGCCTAGACAAGAGAGATAAAATGGCATTTATTCGTATTCTCTCACATTTGTAAGGGTTCAGATTTGAGTAATGAATTATCTTTGCCATATATTTTGTCTAAGGCTCCCTAATCTTTTCCAATGGCCATTGAATGAAGAAAGGAATGAAGGAGGGGACAAAGGGGAACATAAACCTAGTAAAGATGAGTTATGGATAAAAGATTGGATTAAGATAAGATAGATAAGATAACCTTTATTGTCATTTTTTATTGGGGACACACTGGCACACATTAAAAATAAAATTCTGTTGCCTGCTCTGAAAAGAAAGTATATATCAACCCATCCATATACATAACACACATATGCATGTGCTATATACATGCATACATACATACATACATACATACATACACAGAGACACCTATACCCATTCATACACACACACACACACACACACACACATATTAATCACTGTCCATTTTGTACATAGCAGAAAGAGGAAACTTGAGAGTTCATAAGGTTGATGCCATATGGAACAAAATTGAATATTTTGATTGAACCCTGATTGTCATGAAAAAGGCTTTTCCTACTCTTTTTTTTAGTATTAGGTACATATTAGTATAGTAAAATGGAAATCATAGAACATGCAAAGGACTCTGTGGAATCTGTGATTATTCAGATGAGCTACAGCTTCATGAAACCCCTTCTAGGATGGCTTATGTAGTGTGAATTTTAATTCAGCAGCATCTGGAGGGCCATAGGTTCCCTAGTCCTGGGACTGCTGTGAGCAGCTAGTGAGATAATTATTTTCTGTGATGAAAATTCTATAGTGGAAATTCAACAGAGCATTGCGTTTGAAAAAAGAAGTGTGAAACTATAATTTTAAGCTAATTTATTGTAATCTCTTCCAGGATATGTTTTCCAGTTCAGATGAACCGTCTGCCACGAGAGACTCTTCTGACAGCCACACTCTTCGCTATTCCACTCCCACCTCCTGGGAGCTCTTCAGAGACAAACAAGCAGCGCCGCATCCCAGAAGCATTGGGCTGGGTCACTACCCCTCTCTTCAACTTTCGGCAGTAAGTGTGCCTGCTCCTATTGCTTTTGTGGGAAGAATAGTGAACGCCAATCAGGATGAACAAAGCAGCTTTTCAGAACATCTTTTGAGATGAATTCCAAGGAATTCACTATTACTCTATTATAGCAAGCATAGAAAAGGAATCTGGTTGCAAAACTCTGAAAAACTCTTCTCAATTAGAGTTCAACTCATCCTAAAATATTCATTTAAATTGGCAGATGAATGCATACTGTATAAAGATAACCACATATATTCATTAGATACATTGATATGAAGGGGAAAATTGCAAGGCCAAAAGGACATGATTTAATACCTTATTTTTAATTGAATCATTGGTGAATTGAATTAAACTTTCAAATAATAAATGACCCAATGGTTCCTATTAATTGTTAGCTTTTTGTTGCTTAGCACCTAAGCCAGGAGTTCCCAATGCTTGATCTGTGGACCGCGGCATGCCAGGAACCGATCCGCATAAACTAGCAAAGCCCCATCCATGGGATGCAGGCAACACACAAAACCATGCACTCTCCGGTCCGCACAAAAACTTTTCTCCATAGAACTGGTCCCTGGTGCCCAAAACAATGGGGACCTCTGACCTAAGCCACAGTTATGGGGACACATAAGGAGTTGGGAGTGTATGTGATGCACGTGTCCATGAAAAGATTGCCAAGAGAGACTTGCCTAGTCACAAAATAGCCATAATGGTAATTCATAAAACAATACTTTAGTGGATTAGCCCCTATATGCTATATGCTCTATCATCCCAGCATAATTTTCAAAAGACATTCCTCCAGAGAAATAGGATGTCTTCCGAGTTATTTTTTCTTTTAAAAAGTGTTTTACAAATCAGATGTGTCAGGAAGCTTGGTGAGTTCTAGAAAAACATTTGAGTGCATGTTAGTTCCTACAGGCATCAAGTTACGTACTTCTGATCTAGATCTATTTTGTTGGTAACTATCCCTTCAGGGAAGAAACAGTGGCCTAGAAAAAGCTGGCCAGGGTGGCTCAAATGACTGTATGATTACCCAAGAGATATAAATATAACAGCCAACTTTCCCCTGTATGTTTTTTGCTGCAGACGTAATCCAAGATTATTTTTAGATTTTGTTCTGTATAACACAAAATCAAGATATAAATACCTGTCAATTTACAGAACTGAAAAAACTTGTTAAATATTAGAATAATCTTTCTTGTGGTAAAAATGGTTCAACAGTGGAGCCAAATTACCAGGAGAATGGAGAGCTTTCCTCAGCTGAATATGTTCAACAAAGGCTGGACCACCATTTTCGGGGAGATACTTCATTTGGGCTCCATTTCCATTATTCTGAATAAATAAATATTGGTCATCTACACCTGCAAATAATAATTATATTCAACAAGCTTGGATAAAAGATCTGTTTCTATATCTCTTTAATGAGCATTTTGAATCTCCTTGCAAACAGTAACATTAATATTGCTAGTATAAGGAAGCAGTTTGAGTTTGTTTTGGTAGATTCTGCTGCAGTTGCTTCCTCTTCTAAATTAATATTGTGCTTTATACAGGATCCCAGCCTACTATTAGTGAGTTTGCTTCTGATTTTTTTCCCTTCTTTTCTTCACAGAGTCCTGACTTGTGGAAGGAAACTCCTAGGTTTGTGGCCTGCAACCCAAGGTCCTTCTAGTGCCAGATCAAGTGCTCCCAACTTTAACCAGCCAGATAGTGTTATTCTACAAGTGAGTTTCCTGCTATAGTTATGGTTTTTATGACCTAAAATCAGACAAGAGGAAGTTATAATGACACTATGTGTACAGTCTGCTGTTGAAAACATCCAAGTACAAGCACCCCTACTGGGCTTAATTTAGAGTTCCACTCTCCAGAAGTATACAATAACTGACTTGTGGAAATTTTGTTCTTATTCAGGTGTTAGTGATGATTATGTTGCATGACTTTCAAAACAGAATATCTTTGATTAATGTTAGTTACAGTCCAAAAGTATCAGCATAGCATTCCAGCTTTTCAAAAGGAGGAATGAAGACTCTTTTCTTCTCCATATATTGTTTAAACAGTAATGCAACATAGCAATTAAGATGTCAGATTAGGATTGGGAATTCCCAAGTTCTGGCCAACCCTCACTCATAGATGCTTACTGGTTTCTTTGGGTCAGCCCACATCACAGGGAGTAGCAGCAGGGAGAAATGAAGGGACATTCCCATAGAAGCTGCATTAAGCTCTTGAGAAAAGTCAGAATGTCAAATATAACAAATAATCACCATTATACAAATAACTAGCATCCTTCAAAGCTCTCTATGCTGGGTGGGACTGGTGGGAGTATCATGCCATCATCTGCAGGGCCCATACCTTTCCTATCCCTATCTTTCCACAAATACAAGCAGATTTGCACTTGTTAATTTCAAAGATCTACATATCTATATAAATAAAAATGTAAATGTTCGTTTGTTCAAAATCTTAAATTTCTGAAAGTTCTTCACCGATTGCTTTGAAATTTTGACACAACATTGCATTCGAATACGCGCGTGTTTTTATATACCTTTGAAATTTTGACACAACGTTGCATTTGAATATGTGTGTGTGTTTTTATATACCTACTATTATATACTGTATTTATTTATTTATTT